GACGCTCCGGGGGCGCGGGGGGGGGGGGAGGAGGGGATGGATCCTGACCTGGACCCGATCCTGCCAGAAGGTCTTCCTTAATTAAGGTCCCCCCACCAGAGATCGCTGGGGCTGCTCTTCAAAACCCAGGAAGGGGGCGCAAGGGCGAGAGAGGGGCGCGCGCAATCGGCTGGGAAAGGAAAGCAGGCTAGCGAGAGATGCCCGGCGCGGGCAATTCTTCGGTGCCCCCCCCACTGAAGGGGATGCCAAGCGGCTCCCGGGCAAAGGGGGAAGGAAAGGCACCGGCGCTGCCCCCTCCTGCCTGGTCCCGAAGGGGGGGGTCACGGTAGTTGCTGGGGGTGGCGGCGTCTCCTCTCTCCGGGGCTCCCCTCTTCCCTGCGCCCCTCTCCTCTGCGCCGGGACCCCTTGGAGCCTGGGTTGGGGGGGGGGGTTCGGGGTCTGCGCCCCGATCCGCCAAGCGAAGGAAAGGGGGGGTTCGCCCAGGCCCCGGTCCCGAGGATCGCTCCCCTTCTGCGTCCCCCCCGTTTTTCTCTCTCTCTCTCCCAGCGGGGGCGGCGTGCGCGCAAAAGGGCGCTCCAAAAAGGGCGCACCGCTTTTCTCCAGCCAGAGCCTCCGCCGGTGGCGCTTCCGGGAACGGCACCGAAAAAAAAATAAAAACCTTCTCTCTCCGGCCTTCCTGGCAAAGAGGCGGCGCGGCAAGAAGGAAGAGGCCGGCCGGGGAGGCTCGTGGGCGGCGGCGGCGGCGGCGGCGGCAGTGCCATCTGGCGACCGGGATGGAGAGCCTTTGGAGGGGCGCCTTCGCCTCTCCAAGCGCGCCCGCGCGCGCCCCTTCTTTCCCCTTCCCGGGTCCTGGGTGATCCCCCCCTCCCCAAAACCTCACTTAAAAACCACCCGCACTTTTCTCCGGCCAAATGTTGCCACCGGCCGGGTCCTTTCCAGGCAGGAGCTCCTAACGGGCATAGGATTTTTACGATGGCAGTGGCAGGCAGGGGGTTGCATTTTTTTTATTTTATTTTTTTGCACGAGACTTTGGCAATCGATGTTAGTGCTGAGCCCTAAAAAGTCAGTGGTCAGTTGCTTCCCTCCCCCCCCCCACCGCACATCCTCCTTTTGGTTTTGTTTGAGCCTGACCTACCTGTCGGTCACTTGGAGTTCCCTGGAGGGAAGAAAACCTGCAGTAATAGTAATTTTTTTTTTAAAAAAAAAAATCCAGACTTTTTTTTAAATCTTTGGCAATCGATGTTAGTGCTGAGCCCTAAAAAGTCAGTGGTCAGTTGCTTCCCTCCCCCCCCCCACCGCACATCCTCCTTTTGGTTTTGTTTGAGCCTGACCTACCTGTCGGTCACTTGGAGTTCCCTGGAGGGAAGAAAACCTGCAGTAATAGTAATTTTTTTTTTAAAAAAAAAAATCCAGACTTTTTTTTAAATGTATCATCATATCAAATCAAGTCTGGAACGGGTTCAGATTGTTAATCAGGTCCTTATGAGGATCAGTGATTTGTGGTCCAAGCAGGGGATGGTGAGGTTCCCCCCCCCGCTCATTTCAGGATAAGCCATCAGATGAGCAGCAAAGTGAGTTGAGACAAAGGCCAACTAGCTTAGCTTTTCTCCTCTCTTCTTCTGCTCTGCTCTGCACCTACAGTGGACCCTCTACTTACGGAATTAATGCGTATTGGAACGGTGGCTGCAGGTCGAAAAGTCTGTAGGTCGAGTATCTATTGACCTACAATGCATTGAAAACCGATTAATCCCATAACTTGCCATTTTTGTTCCATTTTTGTTCCATTTTAGTTTTTTTCTGGTCTGTAGGTTGATTCTCCAGCTGCAAGTCGAACCTAAATTTTTGCAGCCAGAGAAGTCTGTAACTCGAAAAGTCTGTAAGTCAAGCCGTCTTACAAGGGGCCACTGTACTAAGAATGAATTCATCCTCCCAGTGTGGGTGCTATGACACATTGCTCCCCCCCACCAGCAAATCGGCAGAGTGTTCCCCAACTACTGCAGAACGGGCTTCACCCTTTTTGAAGTAACACAAGCACGCATATCACAATAGATTCCTTATCTTCCGTATTTAAAATTATCTGTTAGCCTCATTGATCCCCTCTAGAGCAAGGGTTCCCAACCTTGGGTAAACCCACTGTTCTTGGACTGTAGTTCGCAGAAGCCTTCGCCACCAGATGTTGCAGTCCAAGAACATCTAGGGACCCAAGCCTAGAAGCCACTGCTTTAGAAAATAAAGGCATTCTATGTATTTGCAAATCACTGGTTCTATTTTGATATTTCCCCACTCCCCCAGTTTGAGGAGGGTCAGTCTGTATCCACCTGATAACTAGCCTTCCAAAGAGAAGACATTGCTAAATATCTTTCCAGTTATAGTCATAGTATGTAAAATGGAAGCTGTAGTCATGACGAAAGCTTTGTTAAGCCTCCTTAAGTTTCTTTGTTTGCTTGCTTTAGAAAAGGGAGTTGTTGTGACTGGTTTCTTGAAAGGCCCGTTTCAGAAGAAAATAAGCAAAGCAGGCTGTTTCACACAGAAGAGTCTGAAAGGGAAGGGAACGGTTGACTTTTGGTAAAGATGTCATGGGTGTATAGCAAAAACATTCTCATAATAAAAAAAAAGTGTGTGTGTATTTTTCTTCTCACTCCACCTGAAAATAGATTTTGCACTGCTGGGAAAAGTGGTAGGAAGGAGTATCAAAAATGATCCGGGGACTCCTTTATGAGAAAAAAAGATTCATCAAACTGCAGAGCTGGAAGTTGAGATAAAGGGAGGGATCAAACTCCCCAGGTACCTAAAGCAATGAGCTATCCGCAGTTGTAAGATCGAATCCATGTGACGGAGTGAGCCCCCGCCGCTTGTCCCAGCTCCCGACAATCTAGTGGTTCGAAAGCATGCAAAAATGCGAGTAGATAAATAGGTACCATCTCGGTGGGAAGGTAAACAGCGTTCCATGTCTAGTCACGCCGGCCACGTGACCACGGAGGATTGTCTGTGGACAAACGGTAGCTCTACGGGGTGGAAACGGAGATGAGCACCACCGCCTAGAGTCGGACACGACTGGACAAAATTGTCATGGGGAACCTTTACCTTGGTAAGGAAAGACTTGGTAGAACTGTACAAAGACCCCTATGGACTTGGGCCATGCTGCCAAACCAGGGTTGCGCAATCATCCATTTGGTTGGAAGACCACAAAAGGTGACCATGTACTCATCACCCAAAATGAGGCATATGCTAATGAAAATTTGTTTAAAAACATTTATAGGCCACCCTATCTCACAGGATCTCACGGCGGATTAGAGGAACCCATTTCTGTGTGTAATATGTGAATATGTGCAGTTAGAAATGGTTATTGTTTTAGTAGAACTAGGTGGAGAATTCATGAAGATGGCCTTGTATGCCTGTTGAGTCTGTTTCCCAGATGTTTCTTATGGACAGGCAATGTCGATGTGCTTTTTTCTCCATCCTGTACTTCTGTCTTTTTATATCAGACTTTGACTGGACAGCCATTCAAATACTTTGTTTATTTATTTAAACAATTTTTACTCCTCCCTGCTCCTTAAAAAAGTCGAAAGGCAGCTTCCATATCATATCATAGAACTGCAGAGCTGGAAGGGACCCCTATAGATCAGTGCTTCCCCAACCTTGGGTCTCCAGATGTTCTTGGACTTGGCCAGCAGAGGTGGTGGTGAAGGCTTCTGTGAGCTGTAGTCCAAGAACACCTGGAGGCCCAAGGTTGGGGACCACTGCTGTAGATCATTAAATCCAGCTGCTGTCAAGGAGGCCCAGTGGGGAATCGAACTGCCAACCCAGAGGCCTAGACCATTGAGCTATCCAGCAGTTCTGTCATTAAAAGAGAGTATTAAAAATAACTAACAGTAAATATACAAATGTTTAAAGGAACCCAATGAATGCCACAACAAAAATGATAAATAAAGCCAATACCAAGAACATAATCAAAGCAACGAGCCGCAACACTCCATTTAAAAGCCTTTCCCAAACAACCAATCATTGAGAGAAAACTTGCCTTAAGAGAAAGATCTTTGTCCAATTGCAGAAGGACGGCCCTGGTAGGAAGGAGTTCCAGAGTCTGGGAGCAGTGACAGAGGAGGCCCTCTCCCGTGTCCCCACCAAACGCACCTGTGAAGGTGATGGGATTGAGAGAAAGCCTTCTCCTAATGATGTTGACACCAGGGCAGGCTCATAGAGGGAGATGTGGTCCTTGAGGTCGCTTGAACTGAAGCTGTTAGGGCTTCTTGAAGATGTCTGCCCTTCAAAGAGGGGACTGTCCTCCCTAAAAGATGACTGCAATACTGTACATTCTTTTGGTTGAGTGGGACTCTGGATCTTGCACTCTCTCTCCCCCCACCCCAAGTATTGCCCTGATGGTGCCACTGTTTCTACGCAGCCTGTAGCTCCAAACAGGAGGAATTTATCTCTGTCTGTTCTGTACCTACTGCTCACTCTCCCACCCTCACTCTAATGATGACTCATGAGACCAGGTGAAATTTCAAACCGGGGACTTCCAGACTTATTAGTCCTGCTCCGAGCCACTGCACAATGACCCTGCCAGCTCTCCTAGGAACTTGTTAAAGAGGGTTTTTCCTTCTTCCTCTCCAGTTTGGGCATTTTTTCTTTTTAGGGTTAGGAGCGACGATGGGCGGCAGAACATCTCATCTCACACGGAAACTCCCTTGAGCCTTGTTCCCCCGACAGGAAAAGATCAGGCAGTCCAAAAGTGACACAGATCTAGGGCGGAATAGAAAGCCCCTGATAGAAGCAAGGTTATCCTGCAGCAGTAAGTCATAAACCATTTCCTTTCATTGGGAAGCTCTCTCTACATTTCAGAGGGAAAAATGGAGCTCGGTTGGATTA